AATTAAAAATATGAATGTGTTTATTTAGCTGTATGTTGAAATAAATTAAACTTGTGAGCTATAATCCTACTTGTCCAAAAGAGCAACCAGCCTTGTGTCTCCTAATATAACTAAGAGGCCATGACAATAATGACATTCTCTTATATTTAAATCAACAAGTCTAAGGCAAAACCAATTATGTAAAGTTAGATTCTCTCTAAAATTACCTTTAACAGATTGAAATTTCAAACAAATTGCTTTAATCAATACCAAAATTGCATTTTACATGGAAAATACCTTTTTTGAAGGAGCTCCGGTGGATGGCACGTCAATTACAGAAGATGTATTAGTGTAGTTTTGTAAATAGGATCCATCTCCAGGAGTTGGGGTTTCTAATGGCAAAATCCCAAAACTGAGAAGAGGTTGAAATCAAGGTGTCAAAAAGTCATCAAGGCATATATAAAGCAGCAGTATACTTAAATTAGAAGGTCTAAAAGGAAGAGAATGGCAAATCAGTCTTGGGGACAGTGAGGATCTGAGGGGCAGATTAAAAATAATATGTGAATGTAGACTATTCCACCCACCATAATTAAAATTTAAAAAAAAGAAAGAGAAAACAAGGAACTTGAGCAAGAACTACTGATCTCAGGAGATTTGTTAGAAATAAAGTGGTTTTATAAAAGCTAAGATTCAAATGATCAAATTTCTTCAAATTCTTGGATTTGGGATAAATTATGGGATTTAGACCCAATTTTGGAGAAAATGTCTAGAGATCACTGGATAATTAACAACTCTCTGAAGTTGTAATCTCGTGGTCATGCTATTTTAGTAGCTCCCTGGCCCCAGGACTACAAAGTCTGTTCTGGCATATAATTTTTTATTTTGGTACTTGTGGATATGTATCCTCTGGGCTGGGTTCCTATATTTATACATATATACACTTCCAATAATCTGGACAAAATATTTCATACTGATAGGTGTCAATACTTCCTCCATGTTTTGAAAAACAGCATTTTAATAGAAAGCAATGTCGCTCAGATTATATCATGAGCGTATTAACATTTAAGAGGTTCACTGCTATCCACTGATGCACGGCCATAAAGACAGTCTCTCTTTTTTTTTTTTGGAGACAGAGTTTCCCTTAGTTGCCCAGCTAGAGTGCAGCGGAGTCATTGTAGCTCACTGCAACCTCCAACTCCTAGGCTCAAGTCATCCTCCTACCTCAGCCTCCCGAGTAGTAACAGACACACGCCGCCGTGCCCAGCTAATTTTTCTATTTTCAG